CTGAATTTCTGAATTTCTGAATTTCTGAACTTATGAATTTCTGAATTTCTGAATTTCTGAATTTCTGAATTTCGGAATTTCTGAATTTCTGAATTTCCGAATTTTGGAATTTCTGAATTTCTGAATTTCTAAATTTCTGAATTTCTGAATTTCTGAATTTCTGAATTTCTGAATTTCTGAATTTCTGAATTTCTGAATTTCAGAATTTCAGAATTTCAGAATTTCAGAATTTCTGAATTTCAGAATTTCAGAATTTCAGAAATTCAGAATTTCAGAATTTCAGAATTTCTGAATTTCTGAATTTCTGAATTTCTGAATTTCTGAATTTCCGAATTTTGGAATTTCTGAATTTCTGAATTTCTGAATTTCTGAATTTCTGAATTTCCGAATTTTGGAATTTCTGAATTTCTGAATTTCTAAATTTCTGAATTTCTGAATTTCTGAATTTCTGAATTTCTGAATTTCTGAATTTCTGAATTTCAGAATTTCAGAATTTCAGAATTTCAGAATTTCTGAATTTCAGAATTTCAGAATTTCAGAAATTCAGAATTTCAGAATTTCAGAATTTCAGAATTTCTGAATTTCTGAATTTCTGAATTTCTGAATTTCCGAATTTTGGAATTTCTGAATTTCTGAATTTCTGAATTTCTGAATTTCTGAATTTCTGAATTTCTAAATTTCAGAATTTCTGAATTTCTGAATTTTTTTTCTAAATTTTTCAAAAATTCCCATATATGGCAAATTCGGGTTCAAAATGTTGGAAATTCAATGAAAATTAAAGAAAATAAATTTTCAGCCAAATTTTCAGCCATTTTCAGACTCAAAGGTCACTAAACCACAGATGTTTGACCTTTTTCAAACATAAAAAAAGCTCGATGGGATTAAAAAAAAAGGATTCCAAAAAAAAGAGAACTTTGCTCTTTTTTTGCCTAGGATGAGCAATTTATGGGTGACACTTGAAAATTTTTTTGGAAAATTTTTTCTTGATTCTTTGGAGTGTTTGGCTAAATCTAACATTTTCGCACGATTGCTCAATTCTAACTATCACCTATATCAGCTGATTAGGTCTGAAAAATCTAGGAAAACCAAGAAAAAAAAAAGTTTTCAACAAATTTTCGGTCTCCGACCGTTTGACGTCAGTTTGGAATAAGGAAAAAAAAGAAAAGGGTGAAAATATATAGAAAAAGAGTTTAAAACACTGATAAGAGGGGCAGAATTGGCGACCTGGAGACGGCCAACTCCCCCAAAGGTCAGTCATAGAACGTAATAGAGCAGTAGAGCGGGGGAAAATGGGTTTTTGGTCGAAAATAGGGCAAAAACAAGGTTCTGAGGTGAAAAATAGTGCAAAAATAGAATTTTAAACCAAAAACTAGCATAGGATTGATTTTGGGCAACCTTTGAAAGCTGTATACCATATAGCGCAAAGGTTAGTCGTTAGAAGTGATACGGCAGTGAATGGGAGGAAGAAATGATTTTAGGTCAAAAACAGTGCGAAAACAATGTATCTAGATCAAAATTTGATGAAAAATTCGATTTTAACAATAAAAATGAGCCTAGAAATGATTTTGGCGAACTTTTGAAGAGATCTATACCATTTAACGCAAAGGTTAGTCGTTAGAGCAGTCAATAGAGGAATGAGTGGTTTTTGGTCGAAAATAGTGCGAAAACAAGGGTCTAGGGTTAAAAATAGTGTAAAAAATCGATTTTAAGAATAAAAATTAGCCTAGGAGTAGTTTTGGGTAATTTTTAAAAATATTTCAAAAAATATTTTTTTGGGAAAATTTTGGTATTTTGATTCCAAAATTTTCAAAAATTAGAAAAACTCAAAATTAGCTCAAAATAGGTCAAATTTAGGCTTAAAATGTTGGAATTTTTGCGATAAATTCAAATATTTAAGTTTTAAAACTATTCAAGTTCAAGTTTTCACAGAAACGCAATTCCAAAAATATATTCCAAAAATTCCAAAAAAAAAAAAAATGACGAAATTCCTTTTTTTCAGGAAAAAATGATGTGATGACCGGTCGGTTGGTATTTCCAATAGGAAGAGAGAAATCAGAGAAAAAAGAGAGAAATGTCATTAATCTTGGCATGTTGCCAGAAAAAAAACTGCGCGGGGTAGAGGTCACCTGGGGTTGTCAGAAAATGTGGGCGGAGCCTAAAAAGGAGGATCAGCGAGAATTGAAGAGATAGAAAGAGAAAAACCAGTTTTCAAAAAATGAGAGACGAGCGCGCAAGACTGACCCTGAAATCAGAAAAAAACATGGAAAATGTTTTTTTATTCATTTTTGAAAAATTTAAAAAATCAAAGTTTCTCGAAAACCACTGAACCAAACCAAATTTAACTTTCAGATTTGAAATCGCCATGAAATTCCTGAAATTTTGAGCCCCATTTTGCCTACATTCTTAGCAATCCGGTAGCTCGGTGGCAGAGGGGTGGCGCAGTGGGTAAGAGGCGCGACTGGTAGTTTTGGGGGTCGGGGTTCGAAACTTTTAGGAGTCATATTCTTTGGTTTTTTGTGAAGAATACAAAAATATAATTTTGAGGGGTTTGGTGGCCTAGAAATGACATTTTCTAGGCCACTGATCTAAAT